TTTTGTTGTGACGATGTTACCTCGCTCTGATGATGTCCGTCATATGACGGACGAAAGCTTAGCACGTGTTTACCGGAATCGAAGGAGATTGCCTCGGAAACAACGTCAGCGTGAATTTTCCAGTAAAGCCAATCGACAGCTGGTCAAGAGGAATCCGCCGTCGTCTTCTGGTGGAACCGACCTTCGGCCAGTAAAGCCAATCGACAGCTGGTCAAGAGGAATTCGCCGTCGTCTTCTGGTGGAACCGACCTTCGAATCCTCGCGTCAGCATGAATCTTCCAGTAAAACCAATCGACAGCTGGTCAAGAGGAATCCGCCGTCGTCTTCTGGTGGAACCGACCTTCGAATCTCCTCAACCTAATCGACAGCTGGTCAAGAGGAATTCGCCGTCGTCTTCTGGTGGAACCGACCTTCGAATCTCTTCACCCAACTTTCACTCGAAATGGAAGTAAGCTCAACAATTATGAAATAAGAGATGCCTCGAAGCCTAACTTTTCCTCGCATACTTGTTATAAATTGCATTCTTTCTTAGCCCTTCTAACTCCTGATCATGATTATTTACTTCCGCCAAACCTTAACTCCTTACTATCATTGATTTCATTACTCCTACTTTAACACCATAAGTATGATTCGAGAAAAAATTAAGAAGGAAACCCTCATTTTGAGTTTAATATATACATCTCTACCCAGTTTGTTCCATTCTTTAATAACTAGTACATCTAAAATGGGTAACTTACTGTTCTTTTTTTAACTCTATAGCGAATTTATTCGTCTTATCTACTCTATTCACTAACCCAAGGAAATCCTTAAAACACCCTTTGCCATACTGCCAGATAGCAAAGTAATCATTCCTTTATCTGACGAATAGTTTAGGAACTAGGAGGGACTCTTGAAAAAGCAGGACTTCCAAATAAGCCATGTAGTTATTAGTTAAAACTGGAGGCAAACACTATCCCATGGCTAAACCTCCGGTTTGCTCTTACAATTTACCATTAAAGATAAAATATGTACCATTCATTTTTGTGTGGATTGGCACACAAGAGACCAGGGCATGGCAAGTGATAGACTTGGTATTAGAGATATATACGAAGAAAAGTTGGGTTTCGAGGAGTCCCTTGTTTCATAATTGTTGAGTTTACTTCCATTTCGAGTGCCACAGTAGCTGGAGGCAAGTGCCTGCTTGAAAGATGTTGACGATTCTTTGGAATCATGACCTCACGAAATTGTGACCAACAG